GTGAGCGGGAACCGGTCTGTGTGTGGGATCCGAACCCTCGGCGGGAGCGCCGCCATGCTTCACAAGCGGCGCACTATAGCAGTGCGCCACCGGGCCGGCCCTAAAAAATTATTATTGATTATACATATTCATGGCACAGGAGGTGACTGTCACCACCTGTGCCCAAGACACGGTGAGCAAATCAATGCTAACAGCATGCCCACCACCTCGAACTGCAATTATTTCCTGTGTCCCCCACCCAACCTCTCCCCAATACCCCTCTCTCTCCACTGACCCGTCCCCCTCCCCACTCTGACAACCCTAGGTCTGTTCTCTCCCTCTGCAAGTTCAACATGCCAATGTAGTCTTTTTTTCTTTCCTTCCTTCTTTCTCTCTTAGCTCCCACTTTTGAGTGAGGACATGTAGTATTTTTGCCTTTGTGCCAGGCTTATTTCACTTAATATAATTTTCTACAAACTCATCCACGTTGCTGCAAATGGAAGAATTTCATTCTTTTTTATGGCTGAGTAGTACTCCATGGTACATATATACCACATTTTCCTTATCCAGTCATCTGTCAATAGACATTTAGGTTGGTTCCATATCTTGGCTACTGTAAACAGAGCTGCAATGAACAAGGGAGTGCAAGTATCCCTTCGACATGATTTCTGTTCCTTTGGGTATGTACCCAGAAGTGAGATTGCTGGATCATATGGTAGATCTATCTGTAGTTGTCTGAGAAATCTCCATAATGTTTTCCATAGTGGCTGTGCTAATTTACAGTCCCACCAACAGTATAAAAGAGTTCCCTTTTCTCCAAATCCTCACCAGCATTTGTTATTTTGTCTTTTTAATAAAAACCAGTCTGACTGAGGTGACATGATATCTCGAAGTGGTTTTGATTTGCATTTCCCTGGTGATTAATGATGTTGAGCATTTTTTCAAGTACCTGTTGGCCATTTGTATGTCTTCCTTCGAATGGAACAGAATAGAGAACCCAGAAATCAATGCACAGACTTACAGCCAACTGATCTTTGACAAAGGCAACAAGAACATACATTGGGGAAAAGACTGCCTCTTCAATAAATGGTGCTAGGAAAAATGGACATCTGTATGCAGAAGAATGAAACTAGACCTGCACACCTCTCACCATACACCAAAATCAACTTAAAATGGATTAAAGGCATAAATATAAGATCTGAAACTATAAAACTACTTAAGGAAAACACAGGGGAAACACTTCAGGAAATAGGGCTGGGCAAAGACTTTATGAATAAGACCCCAAAGCACAAACAACAAAAGAAAAAAATAAATAAATGGGATTATATCAAACCAAAAAATCTTCTGCACAATCAATAGAGTGAAAAAACAATGTACAGAATGGGAGAAAATATCTGCAAACTATACATGTGACAAGGGATTAATTTCCAGAATATACAAACAACTACACAGTAAAAAAAAAATAACCCAATTAAAAAATGAGCAAAGGAGCTGAACAGACATTTGTTGAAGGATGTGTTTTTGTTTTTTAACATGAGAATTAACTGGTGGTAGTAACAGCAGAACAGACTAACACAGTGGATTCCAACTGCTGAAGCTGAGGTTGGATATAATACGTGCCATATTGCAAACAACAAGGTATTCTTACTAAGGCAGCCTTTAAAATCACACAACTTTCAGATTTCTATGGAGACCACCCTGGGGACTCAAACCTAAAGTAAAGAGAGAGCTGGCTGGTTAGCTGAGTTGGTTAGAGCATGGTACTGAAGCACCAAAGTCCAGGGTTCAACCCCTGTACTGGCCAGCTGCCAAAAAAATGAAATAAAATAAAGAGAAAAAGAACTCGGGCCGGCCCGGTGGTGCACTGCTACAGTGTGCCGCTTGGGAGTGCGGCGACGCTCCCGCCGAGGGTTCGGATCCCACATACAGACCGGTGGCTCACTGGCTGAGCGAGGTGTGGGCACAACACCGAGGGTTGCGATCCGTTGCCGGTCACGAAAAAAGACAAAAAGGAAAAAAAAAAAAAAAAGAACTCTATCACAGGTACTTAAATGAAGTCACTTGGTGTGTCTACCAGGTAGTCTGAAGGTTGTGGAGAAATAAATTGATGCACAGGGAGCCTTATAACCTGTAAAAGAATTGCCATCTGATACCCACTAGCACATATACAATTTTTTATTCTTTTAATTGTTCCCAATGTCCAACATAGGATAGACAAACATCTGCTGAATGAATGCCAGGGGTGCTGTGATACATACAATGTCACCCTAAAAGGTTTTCTGTCCAGCAAGGTAAAAGGCAGTACCTATTAGGTATGGGGTAAGAAAGACTCAGGTCCAGTCCTGGCTATGTCTCTTAATAAAATGAGCTCATACAGCAATGCCTGGCACACAGTAAGCACTGTATTTAGTGACTGTGTTACCTTTAGCAACTTCCTTGATCTTCCCAGGAATTAGCTCTCACTAGTAAAGCTGGGTTATTACTTAGCTGAGTAAACTAAGCCATAGTAGGCACTCCTTCTCTCTCTTCCTCCTCATGGAATGTTGTGGACTAGTGTTCACTCAGAATGTAGCCATCTGCACAAACAATGCTGTTGACAGGCCTTCTTTCTTTCCTGCCTTCCCACTCTATAAAATCCTCAGATCTTGTTTTCTTCAATAATCAGAGGGACATAAACACCTACCATAGTTTTGAGAATCCGAGTGCCATTCCCTTCCTATTACCCACCCTACT